TCAGCAGCTTGCACTGGCAGTGAGCAGCTCAGCACGTGCATGGGCCAGCTCAGTATAATGACATGACTAAGACCAACAGGTCACCCCGTTGTGACAGACATCCACAGAAATGGACAGCTTTACAGACTCATGGGAAATACTTCAAAGCAAGTCAGCACACAGATAGCCATTAATAACTGTACGCCAAGAGTTCCAAGTCATACAGAACAGTTACAGTATCTATCAAACAGAGGCCTTTTCTTCCATTAGTTTTGATACATAAATTTAGTCTCTGGCTGACCCAAGATCTACTTTCAGTGAGCCAAAGAAAATGATGTATGCAGAATAAAATCTTATAGTAATCCATGAATTACACAAAAAAAATGTATCTCTTTTTAACACCTCAAAACTTGAGGATTTGGTTTGTTTGGGGTTTTTTTTTCTGCTATATTTTAAAGATAATATAAACCCCCAAACTGAAATCTGCTGGAATCAAAAAAAATGTGGTGTGTGCAAGAAAACACAGAGGAATATATGAAAAATGGTATACTAGGAAAGCTGTTGTCAGCTCCCCAAACCCATATTTAAGTAGAACATTATTTACTTGCCATTTCTGAAGCTTGTATTACTCTGTAACATCAGTGGTGGTCAGCACTTCCTAGGTCACTTGTGCAGATAGATACCTACACGATTTTCACAAGGTCAACTTGTACAAAGTACAACAACTGGATTTGTCCTGTTTGCATGACTGCTGGGACTATTTAGCATGAGGAAACCACACACATTTTCCTCAGTCTAATTCTTGAAGTTGGAATTTAGGTCTCACAGTAAGGAAAGGGTGCTGGCTTTCTAGTTAAAATGAAGTGACAAAGCAAAGCACGGTTCCTGATGGCGTTTAACACTCCAGGTTCTCCACACATGCCAACATTTCAGAACTAAATTCACTCACTGCAGGGGGAAGTTAAAGGCATACTTCAAAATTCACAAAAAGACAATGCGGAATGTTTTGGAGGGAAGGAGTGGAAATTTCCCTTAAAAATTAATTACCATGCATGGTTTTTATGTTAACAAGCATTATGTGTAACTAGAAATGATTTCACTTCCTCAATAGCTGGTTATACTTGTTTCCCGTTTTGTCTGTCAGCAACCTTGCAGAGACTCTGTGGTGCTAACAAAAGATTTAGTCATGTCTTCTTGTCTGCTGACAGAGCACTTACTGGAGATGCAAAAGATATTTGATCACTTATACACACATGCTAATGGGCGCTAGGAACAACATAGCTGCAAAAAATGAGTTTTAACTTGCATGCTTTACATGTGTCATAATGTTGCCTGGAAATCTACTGCATTAAGTAGTAATTATTCAATAACAACGCACTTACAAATATCAGGACACATGCTAGGAATCATTACATGGAAATACATGCAAATATTAACTGAACCAGCTATCCAAACATTATGCACATGTTGTCCAGTACCTATTTCCACTATGTTTAAAAGCATTGGGATCACCAGGTTTGACTGTTACTTTTATCTGATGTGGAGTTAGTTAATAAGTAAAACCTACCACTGGCCCTTGCAGTGAAGTATTTTCTTTCCAGGATACCTTTCAATAAATGTACCATTAAACTATGTAAGCACTGCATCTGGATTGCTTTTATTTGCACAGATTTTCAGAAACCAGCACGTAATGACTAGAAATACAATGAATACACAGGACAAAAGGTGTTACAAGAGTTATATTCAGCCACGTGAAGAGTGAGCAGTATGCGCTTTATGCAGCATTCAGATCTCAATTAACCTTTTGTATGAAGTTGTCCTAATTCTGAAAAGAAATATCCCTTAAAAACAAGAACTCCACAATCTCTCCTGTTTCACCTGAGGTTCTCATTTTAGTGAGAAAATAGTTTTGCACTGAAGGTTATAACAAAAGTAGATGCAGATTTTGAAAGTCACATTTATGAAGACAGAACTTGCACATCAGTATTCAATTTACATGGCATGTTCAGGGGAAAAAATAATCAAGCCAATAACCCCGCTTAGAAAAATCCCTTGTAATGAATGCCAGATTTTAGAAAGACTACAGCCCTTCCCAAAGCCATTCCTTGGCAGAGCTGACAGAACACTTAGAAGGGAGGAGCTTCAAGTTAGTAAATTATTTCCAGCTTTTCATTTGCCAAAGAAAAGAATTTATTCAGGGACAACACTTCCAGCTTCAACAAATGACAGCAGAAGGGCAGCCCTCAGCCATCGAGCGTTGCAAAACTGCTATCTTGGCGTGCTCCAGCAGATGAGAGGGAGATGGAGCCTTTGACGTTTGCAAAACCCAGCTAACAAGTAGCCATCCAACAGGACTGAAATTGGTTCCATCCCAAGCAACTTAACAAATCGCACATAGCATCTGCAAGTGAATGGAATAAAGGGTCACAGGCCCAGGTGCAAGAGCAAATCACTTCTTAATGTGCATGCTTTCACACTGCAGAAAAACAGAACACCCTATGTGAAGCAGAGTGCATCCACATCAGATACTCCTTTATAACGCTGTGCTTTAGGGGAAGTACTAACAATGTTGTTTCTTTGCTGTGCAATCCCTAACCCCAAAACAAGGCGAGTGAGGGAAAGCAGACATCCTCTTTCATCTGTCTAAAATCAGATTAAGATGACTGTGTAACTACACCTTAATTGAAAAGTGTGAAAAACAGGGAATGGCTCAGTTGACTAAAGCTGACTCATAGTAGGTCATCTAGCAACTTAGTCACAAGCCTCAGGCAAAAAGACTACCTCTCCAGCACAATGCACCTCTAGCACCAAGGAAAAAACAGACTCTCCTATGTGGTCATCTCAAAAGCAATACTGGACATCAAAGGTTTGGTTTCAGTCAGACTGGGCTAATCTTCTCAGTGTGTGCCTTCAGCTTGAAGCAGGAGTGCTTTTTTGATATCAGTATACTGATCAGCCCCACTTAGGTTGCAGTGGTTCACATCATGTTGCGGTCTTGGAGCACAAAATTGGATTCCTTTCAGGTGAAACTAAGCCAGAAAATGTGCTCCAAGAACACATCTAATGTGCTGCATCTGCTTCAGTCTGTGGGATGAGATGGGAGCTAGCCTGAAGTAAAACGTCCTGAAATGCAGGCAGAATGGATATCTCATTCTACAGATTTGCTTCTTCTGGTCCACACTTCTTGTTAATGTAGATGTAGCTCTAGTTCTCTGTTCTTTCTTTGCTGCTACCTGACAAAGTCCATTTTTCTTTTTATACTTTGTGCAGTATCACACATCTAGATCACTGAACATGGAAAGACATTGCATTTATCTCTGCTCAAAATCCTAAATACCTGTAAAACTTACACTAGATGAGAGGTTTGGATGTGCCTGCTGCTGCGAAGATCTTAGATAAGAGATAAGGCATCTTTGATCTTGTCTAAGAGGAAAAGAGCCCCTATCCACAAGAGGTCACTGTAAGAGCTGCAAGGACCACACGGGGAAGATAACTGGCTTTGGCAAAGAAATTGAAACAGCTACTGCTGTTTGCTGCTGTCAGTTGATTGCCAAGCAATCTGTGAAATGGTTAAACACAACCTACCAAAGGCAGGCATTCTTCCAGGCTACTGACATCATGCAACTGGTACTTTTACATCTACTCAAAGGAAATGCTTCCCAAGCCCAACCCTCCCTCAGAAGCTCATCATTAAAACCCTGCCATCATGTCTCGTCTTGCTGTTGGGATGTATGGGAGCTGATGGTATTTTATTATGCCTTCCTCTAACTTTCAATAAAATTCAGTCTGGTCAGGGTGCAGATGTAAACTCAGCAACACTAAAGAATGCAGATACCACGCTGGATCCTGAACCACAAGCAATGTATTTTTGCATTAGCATGTTGCTGTGCTTGAGCTAATTACCCACATTAACCTGATGAGGTTGCTTTGGGACTACTGTGCCAGCTTGCATGGGGATTTCTAGCACTGCACTGCATAAGGTAACTCTGAAAATGACAGAAGTACTGCTACTCCTAGGCAAAATACTTGAGATGAAGTCTTAGGAGGGAGAAACAAAGAGCTGAAGCCTCATAGTAGGATTTTTTACTAGCATAAATCTAAATAATTCCAGTCATGTCAAAAGAGATTTGACACTTCATACCAGCTAGGCATTTTCCTCATCAAGAGAGAATGTCTCCTGTTCCTGTAAGCACGGCCCTTTGGGTCCAGGGGCTGACTGTAAGCTACCAAACTCTTCAGAGCATTTCTAAAAACATTTACCCTCTGTTCTTACCTTTGGCTTCGGGTTTCCTGCCACTTTGCACGTAAATGTGACTGGCATTCCCTCGAAGATTTTGTAATGCTTCAGCTTTATCTCAAAATACGGTGACACACTGTTGTCAATAGGTTCATCTCCATGCTGCACCTCATCGTCCGATTCTTCCACAGGAGATCTCTCCAGCCTATATTCAATTTCACTGATCAATCTTTGCTCAAAGCTGGAGACTTTATACTCCTGTCAAACAAGAAACGTACGTATTAGTGTCCAGCTTCAGTGTGTTGCTCAGCGAGATGTGTTCCTAATATTTTGAGGTTTTTTTATTCTACTGATCTTTGACAATCCATTAAGGTTTTACATAAAAAAGGAAACTGTATCTTGTTGAAGAAAAGCACTATAATCCACACCTCCAATAACTTCCCTATGAAAAAATGAAGACATCTGGTATGAGGCAAAAATTGTATTTCATGTTACCTTAAGGTCTAATTTATAAGAGGCAGGAAAGTCATTGGTTGCTTTCTTTTCAATTTTTTTAAAAAAGCCTATAAGAATAAAAGTATTCTGAAGCAGTTCATAAAGACAAAAGAAACACACTAGTATTTCCTTGAGGGTACAGGCAAATTTAGGGTGGGTTTTGTTTCCAGATGGCCAGAAGACCATATGGTTCACATCTGCTGTTTGCATAGGAGTGTACTGGAGGCTACACCAGGAGGTTAAAATGATTTTGTTTACAGTTTTCTGTAAAAACAAGAAAGGAGGAGAACATGGCAACTCTGGAAGCCCATGATAGTTGCCTCTCTTCACTACTGTTGCCATGGTCCCCTTTGTCTGGCCAAAAGTATCACTCCTTTCTTAAAACCAAAACCTACCATAAGGGTATTCAAGATATAGAAAGAAGAGTGGAAAGCTTCACCCAGTGTAAAAAAATGTACTACTGCTTGTTTAAACGTGCTATTCAGACACAAGGAAACGTTACTGTCATATACACAGTTAGTTACTTTCTTGAACTGTTCACTCTCTCTACTTTGCAGTACAAAAGTTCTGCTTTGAATCTTAGCGATAACAAAGATAATGCCAGAATGTAAGAAAGCCCAGAAGCAGAAAAACACAATAATAGAAGAGTCAAGGCTCTTGTCAGTCAGCAGAAATCCAGGCACCCTTGCAAATGACCTTTGGCCACTGTCTCTGACTCTTGTTTTATTTAAGATAGAACACACGTCTCATACGAAGCCTCATTTCACATACCCATCCTGTTATCATTACCTCTGGACTGGGAATGACGTGCAGTCTTTCTACTGACTGGTTACAGAATTAATCGTAACCCTCAACAACAGTACATAATGGAAGAAAAGAGAAAAGCCTTTGCAAACTACAGGTATTTTGATTTCTTCAGTCCCTGAGAGTTTACGATAAAAACAAACCATGAAGTACACATCGTGTATAGAAAAAGCAGCTAATTTGGATGCAAAGCAATTAGTATCACTTTATATTAACATTATGCCCAGACACTGCAGCATGCCGTTACTGCAGTTAAGCTGCCTGCACTCCAACAGTTAGGAACAACTTCAACACCCCAAAGGGAATGTAGCCCACATCTCCTCAGTTACTAATCTAGGTGAACTCTTTTTATTAACCAAGAACAATAGAAGGGAAAGGGCAAAGACAACAGAGGAAAAAACCCCAAACAATCAATGGACAAAAAGGCAAGGCAGAAAAAGGTGAAAACGTTAACCTTTTGAGTATCCACAGGACTCACTACAGAAGCACCAACAGAGCGAGCTTCCTGCAAGGGCAGAAAAACAGATCAAGAAGCAGAAAGAAGAGCAAGAGGCATCCACGACAGTCTTGCAGTTTGTATCAGCAGAACATGCTTTATGTGGTAACATACGCAAACAAATGCTACACATTTCCGAGTGGCAACTCTGGCATCCGAACAATGGAGAATGTGTACCTGCCCTTTCAAGCAGACTTTCTGTTGTGTTTTTGGTCTGCATCCAAAAAGTGCGGATTACACAAATAAAGAGAAGATGGTTTCAAGATAGTAGACGTATTTTTTCCTTGAGAGACATAAAGGTCAGGACAGAATAGGATAAAAGGAAGAGTTTAAAGCAGAGAGCAGACATTTGAGAACTCTCAACCTTATGGAAAACCTGAGTAACAGGCATGTGATCCTCCAGTTTACTTCACTGATACAGAACATATGACTCCTGTAATCAGAACCGTCCTATCGGGTGTATATTTATTGTCTTATGTAGGACTTTTTTTTTTTTTTTTTTTAAGACAATCACAGCCCGTAAAAAAGAAAAATTGAAAGGATTTTTTTTTCCCTATGAAATCGTAGACTTCTGTGGCACCTGTATAGCAGGATCTTCTTCTGGTTCTTGTATATTGAAGACAGTTGCAGCACTGTCTGCTCCCAGCAATCGACGAGCCATTTTTTCCTCATACGTTAATCTCTGAATAAAAAAATAATAAAGGGATAAGGGGGAGGGAAAAGAAGAAAAAACAGTTCTTATTTCTCATTAAGAACCACAAGGCAGTTAGACAGCAAGCAATGCTTTAGGTAATGTTACTAAAAGAGACCAGCAATATGTTTCTAACAGCAGTTTTCTACCACAGTTTGTAATGCATTTTTTTTGCATTACAAGCAGCTCTTCTGGCTTAAGCAACCCTTGCCCTGACTCTACCATGTGTTTCCATGCTCTTGCCAGGAACTTGGGCAGGATTGAGCAATAGGAACTGCTTAAATCAGCATGGCCATCATAAAAGTGCATGTCAAATTGTCCCCAGTCTTACTGCCAGTCGTTCTGGTAGATTTTTACATTAGAACCACACGGCAGAAAACTCTGCCAGAAATGCTAAGGAGATACTACTCTATGTGAGTGTCTTGTCAAAAATATGACAGATTTGTAGAAGAGTATATTCTTTAAGGGTGTTTGTTTCTATTTCTTCATACTCTTCGGGAAATTAAGGAGACGGCTTATAAAAGACAATTTACACTCAGAAGGTAAAGCAAGGTAAAAGAAAACCTTAAGTGTGCAGTTTTTCACTTTTCTCCTGCATTCAGTGACATGTCACGCCTTAGACACTTTCTTATAAATCAACATTGTAAAAAAATGCCAGTGACTGAAAGGCAAACTCTTCACACGGTGACATGCCTCATTTAAACAGAAAAATGAAAGAATGGAAATTGTAAAACATTACATCTACTTAATGCTTCCATTCTTAAAAGAAATTATTTAAATTAACTTTTAAAATATGTCATATTGTGGCTAGCCCAGCAAGCTGAAACTCATGAACACTAGATACCAATGTGGCTTGGTTACAAATGTCTGAGGAAGTCATGAACTCTTCTTCACTTTAAGTTTTCCTGTGACTACCCCAAGTGCCTATAGCCATTACACAAACAGAATCACCCAAGACAGGAATCTGCAAGGCAAAAGCCTCAAGGCAAGCACAAAGCCAGAGTTTACTGGTCCAAGCTCCCACATCATCTGATCACAGTTTTTTCCCCCCTCAGGCCATGTGGGCTTTCTCAGGACATTCCATTCATTTGTCCAGGCCAAACATCTCTTTTACTTTCCAAAATAGGCATTGACAGTCATGCTCCTTTAAAAAAACCCATCAACTTACACACTATGAAAGTGATTCTGCTCAACCGCTACAGAAAACTGCCAACCCCTGTGCAGTCAATGGAGGAAGGTAAGTACAGAAGCACTGTTCA